TATACCCATTGTTCTCGGTCCTGACATCTGTGGCATCTCTAGAAAGGCCTGGCATCTACAGATGTCCAAGATGTCCTGGCATCTTGCGATGTCGTGGCATCTGCCCTCTTGGCGAGATGTCTTGTCTTGGCGGGATGCCGATCACGTGATCTTCGCCCCGCGTTGATCATTACCTTCTGACGTGGACATCCATAGGTCCTCTGCCACTCGTCCCGCGTCAAGGAATCCTTCTTGTTACTTGTAACATTATCCCCCCTCTTAGGCGTATCGTCCCGATACCCTAGAATATCGTTTTGCCGTGCCGCGTGTTAAAGCGTCGGCTGCATATAAGGTCGGTAGGCCCCGGGCCTCTATAACCGTTCCTTCCTATCTCTAGCCTTCCTAACCATGCCCAAGGTACAGAAATCTCGCGCTCCCCGTCCTTACACATCAACTGATCAGAAGCGCGCTCGCGCCGCGCGCGCAGAGCAAGAGGGTGTAGAAATGGATTTTCGCTGTAAGCGCTGTGAAGAGAAGAATCTCCGTTGCTTTGTGGAGACATCTTCTAGTCGTTGTGCTAGGTGCATTTCAGTTAGTGCTAAGTGTAGCTTGTTCGTTTCTGAGAAAGAGTGGGAAGAAATTCAGGCTAAACAAGAGCGCAAAGAGTTGGAGGTAGCTCAGGCTGAAGAGCGCCAAGCTCAGGCTGCCGCTAAGACGTCTCGTTTGCGTCGTGAGCTCCTGGAGGTGAAGAACAAAAAACGGGCTTTTGCGCGCCGTGACCTTGCGATAATCGCTGTCCAAGATCGTGCGAAAGAGGAGGCCGAGGGGAGCTCTGCCCCTGGTACGGGCCTTCTTGTTGTCGAACCACCGCTATCCGAACCGTCAGCTGATCTGGGCTGGTTACAGGCTGACTCCTTCGATCCTTTATCCCTTGATTACTTCCTTTCCCTTGAGGACCCTGTCCTCTCTTCTCTGGGTGCGCTCAGTGATACTCACGTATCAACGACTTGCAGTTCGTCAAATTTTCCTCTGGTTCCCAAGTGTTCTGGCTATCCGGCCATCCTTGCCACTTGACCAAGTATTTCCACTGACGACCGATTTTCCGTAGGTCCCTGATTGCTTCGACCATATACTCGTCGTTTTCGAGTTCGATGTCTTCCGCTAGTTCGGCGTCTTGGGGTGCTGGTTCCAAAAGCTTCTTATGGAATATAGGGTGGACTTTCATGCCTGGTGGTAGCCGTAGCTTGTAATTTACCGGTCCTACCTTCTCTAGGATCTCGAATGGTCCTACTCGGAGATTGTCCAGTTTCTTGCATGGTCGCTTAGTTTTCAGGTTCTGTCTTGACAGGAAAACTTTATCCCCCTCTTTAAAGGTTGGTCCCTCAATCCTTTGCCTATTCGCTGCATTGGATGCCGTGAGGTTCCTTTGAGCTATCCGTCTGCTCAATTCTTCATGCAATTCCCGCATGAGTCGTGCCTTGTCTTCTGCTCCTACTGCGATGCTTTCAATGTCTTTCGGATCCCGATGAGCTATCGGCTCATATCCGTAGTTCGCATAGTGTGGCGACTGTCTAGTCGTTGCAGATTTTGTGCTATTGTACGCTAGCTGCGCTGTTGGCAACAGTTCTACCTAGTTGTCCTGCCATTTATTGACATACATCCGTAGGTACTGTTCTAGTGTTTAGTTCGTTCGTTCCGTTTGGCCGTCTGTTTCTAGGTGGAAGCTTGTCGAAAGCTTTCTCTTGACGCCTAATTTCGCTAGGAACGTTGTCCAGTATAGAGATGTAAACAGCTTGTCTCTATCTGTGATAAGTTCTTCCGGTACTCCGTGTTCCGACACGAGTGCTTTGGTGACTTCGTACGCGCATTCCTCTGCCGTAATAGTCTCTTCTGTTGGAATAAACTTTGCTGCCTTAGTCAATCGATCTACGATTACTAGGATGGTGTCGCAGAGTCGTTTAGATCCTGGTTCTCGTGATTTCGGGAGCTTTACGATGAAGTCCATCGTGACACTGCTCCATGGTCTCGTTGGTGGCTGTAAGGGTTGTAACAGGCCGTAGGGCTTATGTCTCTTAGGCTTGTTCTGGTGACATGCCAAACAGTTGCCTAGGGTATCCTGCACCTTCGCTCGCAAGCGTGGTATGGCAAATACCTTAGCTAGTCTCCTGACCATTTCTTCTATTCCTGCATGCCCATATTCTAGGGACTCATGCAGTTCCTTGATGAGACTCGATCTCATGTGAGGAGGTACATATGTTCGATCCTTCGAAATCATATCTCGGTACTCTCGTTCGTCCTGCAACAATTCGTCGGAGCCCTCGGCGTCGGGCTCGAATTGCCAGCTGGCTGCTCTCTGCTGCCATTGCTGCTGTAGGGTTTCTACCTGCGCGGCCACCTTGGCTACCTTAGCTAGTTCCGGCTGGTTGTATCTCAAGCTGCCGTTGGGCATCTGCTTAAATACCGCATCGTGTGGTTCTTTGTGATCATCTTCGCGTAGGTCCGACCTACGGCTTAGAGCATCCGCTGCCCCATTAAGCGATCCGGCTCAGTGGGTGATCTTGAAGTCGAACTGAGCAAGCAACTCAGCCCATCGGACTTGTCGTCGGTTGAGTTTCTTAGTCGTCATGAAACTCGTCAAGTTCTGGTGATCGGAAAACACTTCGATCGTGTGGGGCAAGCCTAGCAAATGCACTTCCCACTGTTCAAAGGCATCGACTACTCCAAGTAGTTCCTTATCGTGAACATCGTAGTTTAGTTCTGCTCCTAAGAACTTTCGTGAATGGTAGAACACTAGTCTCTATTTCTTATCTAGGCACTGCTGTGACAATACAGCTCCGAGTGCATAATCTGACGCGTCGGTCTCGACTCGCGTTTCTCGTCTTAGGTCGTACATCTCTAGTACGGGTGCCTCCAAGAATGCCTGCTTGAGCGTCTCAAACGCTTCCTGGCAATCTTGAGTCCATTTAAACCCAACTTCTTTCTTCGTAATCTCCGTAAGAGGGGTAGCAATCTAGGAGTAGTTCCTATGAACTTTCGGTAAAAGTTCGCAAATCCTAGAAAGGATTGCACGTCCTTGACTATTTTAGGGGTTGGCCATTCCTGTACAGTCTGGATCTTCTTTAGATTCATCTTAACACCCTCTATCGAGATTATGAAGCCTAGGTACTCGGTTTCCTTCGTATAGAATTCGCACTTGCTGGCTTGGAGGTACAGCTTGTACTCCTTAAGCTTCCGTAGTACCTTTTTGACATGTTCGACATGTTCTTCTAGCGTACCGTTGGTGTACACCAGTACATCATCTAGGTAGGCCGTAACGAAGATTCCTAAGTATTCGTGGAGTGCCTTGTTGATGACTGACTGAAAGGTTGCTGGCGCGTTCGTTAATCCGAACGGCATAACCGTATATTCGTACAGTCTATACTTTGTCTTAAAGGCCGTTTTCCACTCGTGTCCTTCTTTGATTCTAATCCGATAGAATCCTTCGCGGACATCGAACTTCGTAAACCACTTGGCTCCCTGGAGTCGATCCATGAGCTCTCCTATGAGTGGTAAGGGATACCGATTCTTGACCGTAACGTTGTTCAACCGTCGGTAGTCGACACACAGTCGCCACTTCCCGTTCGGCTTCTTTACGAACAGAATTGGAGAGGCCATTGGGCCATGTCCTGGTCTAATAAATCCCTTTTTTAAGTTCTTTTGGAGGTAATCCCGCAGCTTAGCATCGTGCTCGGGCGCTATAGGGTACATTCCTCCTAGGCTCAACTTAGCTCCATCTTCGAGGACGATCTCGTGATCCCAGTCCTGATGTTCTGCTAGGTCTGTTGCTTCGTTTTCCTCGAACAGTTTTCTAAACTCGTTCGTCTGGTATTCTGTTAGTATCGCCAACTGTGGTACTAGTCCTTCCTTCGTGGTCGCGACCCGTTTCAACCAAATGACTCCTATTCTCTGAGGGTCCTTCACATAGATTCTCATGATCTTATGTGGTGAGATCGTACCTATCCTCCCGTCCTTGGGTGAGCTCTGGATAATCGGGTTCGTCTCTTTTCGTACTCCAGCAACCTTGTGCATAGGTTCTCGGCTGAGTATTGTTTTCTTTTGCCAATCGATGGCCGGGTTGTGTTCTAACAACCAGTCATAGCCTATGAGGATATCTTCCTCTCCGAGGTCCATGATGTTGATCTTCACGTGGCTTTTCCTGCCTGCCAATTCCATCGGCACCAGCTTGGTCTCTAGCCTGATCATGCCGTTCCCGTATGCCATGGGATTATCGTCGGCTAATACCACTCGCATCGGCACCTTCTTGGCCTGATGGGGTATGTCGTATTTCTCCACCACTCGGGGTGAGATCATTGTTCGTGCAGCACCACTATCTATGGTCGCTGTCATCCTATGTCCGTTTACTAAGACATTTGTTCGAAGTCTAAGGTCCTGCGTGCCTACGCTCTTGACTTCCTTAAGGGTCGTTTTAGGACTGCCTTCACCAGCGTGACCCTGTCCCTGGCGGCATCCTAGTTTTTTGTCGGCCTACTCTTCCTCTGTCTAGGAAAGTAGCCTGCGCCGTACTTGGCGTCTTGGTGTATTGTGCAATAGTCGTTGTAGCAGAAGGACCAGTGCAAGAGTTCATGACGCTCTTCACTATCCTTGACTTGTTGCTTCGGCATCCGAGATGTCGTGACTTCCGACTGCCAGTCTCGATGCATACGACATTCCGTTGCGTTAAATTCCTCAGCGTTTACCGTCCCGTGGTAATAGCTGGTCGGGTTCAAGGCTTCCTTATACTGCGTCCTGTGATACTGACACATGCTTTCGCA